CAGGAGGGCAGCCACGTGGCTGTGGTCAGGAGACAGCTTGCATATCGCACTCCCTCCCCCGGGGACAGATGTTTTTTAGTCTCGTCCCTCGGTGGGGTACCCTTGTCTGCTAAAAGGGTGTGGTTTAGGGTAGTAAGGGCAACTTACACAATTTTTTTTTTTTTTTGGCAAAGGGAATGGTGCTTAAGGAGCTAGCTGGTTTACTTTGATTTCCAGGATCTCCCTCACAACACTGAAATGTTAACACGTGTACTGGAACACCACACAGGCATTGCAACGCAGCTTAGGACCCCCTCCGAGTCCCCGAAGGCTGACTCCACGTTGGCTGGCCCCCCTCCAGTCACTAGTACACACACTTTCACGGCGTGTGGCCTTTGGCTCAGGCGGGCTAGTCCTGTGGGACGGATTTCTGGCAGTGAGACTTCGAGTCAGATGGTGTGTTCATTTGCAGTTTTGATAAATATCGACAAATTATCCTGCATTGTCGCCATTCCAGTTCACACTTCCTATAACAAGGCAGGAAAATTAAGGCGTTAAGAGACTAGCCTCGGGAAGTGTCTGAGACCGTATCTAAACTGCAGGAGAATTAGATGAAGCAGAAAGAGTTGAGTGTTCTGAGCCACTGGGTGGCATGACACCCTGTCCTCCCCAATCCCCCGCCCCCAAGTAGTGAGCATTGTCATGTGATTGGATATTGGGGCTGAATCTAATTCATGGTGGCATATGCATGCCCTTTTTTCTTTCCAAGTAAGGTGTCTCCTAGAAATCATGACAGGGTAAAGCATCAGTTATGATGATCGAAGAGTTAATGTTCTCAGATAGGGAGGATCTCGCCCCTTGTTGCTCGATAGAACCTTCTGGAATGATGGAAGTGTTCGATAGCTGGTCTGTCCAGCGTGATAGCTACTTGCCTCCATGTGGTGATCCAACACTTGAAATATTGGCTAGTGAGAACGAGGTGCCGAATTTTGAATTTTATTTCATTTTGATTCATTTATATTTAAATAACAAATTGGTGAGAAACATTGAGATTGTCTGAACCCAGCGGTCTTTCTATTATGCTTGTGTATGTTGTATTTCAGCCATTTAGGTGCTTTTTTATTTATACCCTGATTGTTCTTCCAGACTGGTATTTAGTTAGTCCACATTTTAATCGCATATCTCTTCTTAAAGAATTAAATATGATTTATATAAAGTGAAATGGATACATCTTTGTTTAAATTATTTAACTTTATTTATTTATTTATTTTAATTTGACCAGAGAGGGACAGAGAGAGGGAGGGAAAGTGAGAAAGCAAGTCGCCAGGTCTAGGACTCGAACCATAGTCGACCATGTGGGAGTCCAGCGCCCTTAACTACTGCACCACCTACTGGCCCTGAAATGGATACATCTTAAGTTGTGTCTCTGAACTGAGTTTCCTTGACTTCCAAAGGATATCGTATTAGGTTACTGCAAGGCAATTTCTAAAATAATCTCTTTTTTAAGGAAAATTGTACCTAGCAAAAAGCTGGTTTATTTTCATTTTTAAGTTTTCCCCAAAGAAGTTTGAAGGGGTTCATGAGTTTGTTTCTTTGTCATTGCCAGAGGGTGCATGTACTCGTGAGAGACAGAGAAACAGAGAGAAAGAGGGAAAAAGCACCATTCGATGGGGCATGGCTACACCTCAGTCCCTTCTCCTTCATTTCCCCATCCTGTTGGGATTTTTTTTTTTTTGAGAGATTTTTCACTGTAGGGCGCGTGCGCTCGCCAGACAGACAGAGAGAGACATAGAGACAGAAAGCGAGAAATCACCCCCCAGGGGGGATGGTCACGCCGCAATCCCTTCTCCTCCATTCTCCTCTTGGGATCTTGGGCACGCACGCACACGCGCCCAGCGTGAGTTTTAAGCCACCGGGTCCGGGACACGAACCGCGGTTGACTACATGGGAGTCC